TCCGCTGCGTGCTCCGGGGGCCACGGGCTGCGACCTCAGTTCGCTGAGTCACGAAGTTACGTTACCAAGTCACTAAGTACTAAGGCATTCATGATTTCAGGCGCGGGCTTGACCCCCAATTTGGTTTGGGGTGTGTTGGGGGCTTTCGGGTTCGGTTCCGGTTCGGTTCGGGTTCGGGGGTGATGTTCATTGCGTACAAACAAAGCAACGTAGGATTCTTCCGTCGCCAATAGGATAGGATGGGGCCTAGGGCCTAGGGCCTAGGGAACGTGATCCTTGTTCTAAAATCTAAAACTTAACCCGAAGCCGCCAACCAAAACAGGCCATCACCGAACTGATGTCCAAAAACACAACCCCGTTGTGGATCTATGAGGCTGGGTTCCATCGGATGGGCGGTGGGGCGCTGTGATTCCCGAGGCGCGGTCAGTCAGGGGTCGCCTGAAATTATGCGTAAACTAAACATCTATTTATCAAACTGGGTTTCTTGTCTTTCCGGTTGAACCCAGCATTCTAGTTTTGTATGAGCTAATTTCGGTTTGCCTTCGGTTGAGGGCCTAGGGCCTAGGGTCTAGGGCCTTTAGGGCTTTAGGGTTTTGGCATTTTGGCCATCGGGGTTTTGAAGTCCGGGTTTAGAGTTTTGGTTTTGGGATTTTGGGGGTTTCGATGCATTGTGGTTCCAGTGAGGGTGGAGGGCATTGTAGGGAGGGCACGGTTCGGGGTTCGAGATTTTGGTGATCAGGGTATGGAAGTTCGATTTGGGGTTTAATGTTTCCCGGGAGGGTTTCGGTCTGCTGGTGGTTTGGGGGTTTAGCGTGGGGGGGCTTCTCGTTTCGGGCGATTGAAATTTAAGGCTTCGGGACGAGGGTTTTGTGTGGTTTTGGCGGTTACGGATTTGCGGCTTCGCTTCGAGCTGGGGTTTCAGGGTTTGGTGTTTCGGTGTGTTGGCGTTCATTGGCTTTGGGCTGTGGCGTCTGGGGCCCAGTCCGGGGTTTGGGGGATTGGGTTAGTAACGGTTAGTCTTAATAAGGTTAAGCTATGGGGAGCAGGGTTTGTTGCTTTCGTGGGTCAGCTTTTGGAACTTCGGTATTTCAGGTTCTTTCCCTTTCCAATTCGAGGTTATCGGTAGCCGAGCTTTGGATACTTGAATGGCTTGCATTTCATTTATTTCATATGAATATATTCATAATCCATAGTTTCATGTTTATATCTATTTTTACAGAAGGCTTAGTTTTACCAGTTACTAGTTACTTGATTACGCTTCAGTTTGGGGTTATTTCACATGCCATATTTCGGAGGAGCCAGGTTTCAACATTGAAGGGTGTTTACGCTTTGAGATTAGGGTGATTAGGGTTTAGGGTTTAGGGTGCAGGACCCATTTGACAAACAATGCACCATCGTCCGGCTCCGGCCTTTTTTTTTTTGAAACGAGCGTGGAAAAAACAAACCACAGGTTTAGGTTCTAAGCCCCGGTTGTTAGCGTAGGTGGTCCTGCATCGTTTGGATTCCGGTACGGTTCCGGTTGATTTCATTTCGGACTTCAGTTCTGGGTGGCTCCTATTGAATGATTCGCTAGGTCTTCTAGGTCGCTCTAAGCCCCCTTACCCGAAGCCCCTTGCCATGGCATTAAATCATTACGTGGGATCAACGACGGGGACACACTTCTCGTCCTCTTGGATCCGAAGCCTGCATCTCTGCATCGGCTTGGCACTATCGACGGGTACAACGTCGACGTGGCCCAGGTTTTCGCGCATGAATTGGGGCTGCCATTGGCGGGTTCCCTCATGCATGTCTTTGATGCTGGCAAGGACGTTGTGCTTCAGCAAGCTTCAGCACATCGGAGCCCAACCGGTCTGGCAACTGAACCAACTGGTCTGCAATACCAGAGTCGGCGCGAGAAGCCGCACACAGGACATCATGGTCCCCGACGAGGACAGGGACCCCGCAGAGTCGGCGCGAGAAGCCGTACACAGGACTTCATGGTCCCGGACCCACAAGCCTTCGGGCATCGACCTCGAGAACATCGAGAACATCGGTAGGAAACGATAGGTCAGGTAGGGTTAGTTTAGAATAGGTCGGTTTAGGATGTGCCGGATAAAGTTCATAAATGACATGGTGGCATCGAAGCAAACACCAATAATAGCATAGGCTTTCTTAGCCCGCAAGCCACAAGCAAACTCCCCAAGTCCCGAGACAAGCGGTTTAGCCCTATATCCTCCCTCGGCCTGGCGATCACTGGCGCGGGCGATTGCAGGTGGGCACCCTAATACGTATTAGAGGGTTTATAACTATTTAGTCCTGAACCCGGAATCTTTATAGGAGACGAAACAAACACAAGCAAACTGAAACTCTTTTTTTTCATGCCATGTCTAGGGATGCCACCTTAGCCGGCACGGTTGCACATTAGGTCATTGGGTAGGTCATTAAGCAGTGCCTTGGGGCCAGGCTCGAAGCAAGCGTCCCAAATCATCCCACATAATGCCCCTGCTGACCCCTATATCTCTCCTGTCAGGCCTGCTGGGCACTGCTGGGATTGGACTCCGGCTCAGAGCGGCAGAGCATGGGGTTGTAATTTTAGGGTTTTGGTTTATGGTTCAGGGGTTTAGGGTTTTGGGCTTTGGAGTTTATGGTTCAGGGGTTTAGGGTTTTGGGGTTTATGGTTCAGGGGTTTAGGTTTAGGGTTTTGTTTTGGGTTTTGGAGTTTATGGTTCAGGGGTTTAGGGTTTTGGGGTTTATGGTTCAGGGGTTTAGGTTTAGGGTTTTGGGCTTTGGAGTTTATGGTTCAGGGGTTTAGGGTTTTGGGGTTTATGGTTCAGGGGTTTAGGTTTAGGGTTTTGGGTTTTGGAGTTTATGGTTCAGGGGTTTAGGGTTTTGGGGTTTGTGGGGGTTTAGGGTTTTGGGTTTTGGGGTTTATGGTGCAGGGGTTTAGGGTTTTGGGTTTTGGGGTGTGTGCGGGTATTTGGTCGTAAGAGCCTAAATGCTTTAGGGGTTGAAAATAAAGGGTCGCCTTTCCAGGTTTGTTATCGTGTGGGCATTTGTGTGTTCTAGATTCTAAATACAAATCGTACAAGTTGATACAAGAGAGAGATCCTGTGTATTACCACAGTAGCCAAAAGGGGCCTGTTCCTTAACAGTCGGTTTTCGCAAGTATAAGAGGGTGAGGAGGTCATGTACTCAGTATTCCTGCGCTTCAAGTTCTTGTTTGGCACTCTGCCCGGAATCCCTTGTTACTTATATTCTTATATGTTGTCCCTAGAGCATAAAGCCGCCTTTTTTCTGGTTGTTGAAGCTTCGTATTCGGGCTTTAAGGAAGCTTACGGTTCTCGGTTGTCGGTTAGGGTGTAATTAGGTCTCCGAATTATGAAACAATGTGCATTTCGGGCTCTGGCAGTTAGGTGCCAGGGATTTCCTCAGGTGAGTAAAAGATCATTAGTCACTAAATAGTCGTTCGTTGGTTGGTCTCTCCGTGATCTTTTAAGGTATTAAGGTACTACATGGATGAGAAAGACCAAATTGGCAGTAACTTTTCTTCTTATTGTAGAGCCGTCGCTAGTATTGCTTATGAAGCTACTGTAGAACACATATAGATATAGTCAGAATTGAATTCTATTCGGTATTCATATGTATTTTCTTTCAGGGCTCGAAAACCAGCCTGAAACATGGGTCTGTACACTGACGACTCACCTCGAGAATTGCTTACAGGGAACCCCCCCCACCCCTCGACCCTCCCGAACGCCCCGCCGCCCGACCCGGGACCCTCCTCCTTCCTTGCCCCGAGGCAACACGGGCTGGCTTACATTGTTACATTATTCGTGAAGCTCAGGCCAAAGCCCGAGAATTCTGGGCTGTCTTGTACTTCGTTGCACTGCAAAGCTTGATTCCCTTTGCAACATGGCAGGTTGTATACTAATGCACACCCCGACGGGCCTGGGACTAGGACTAAGTGACTAAGTGACTAAGACTAGGGACTAGGAGTGACTAGGACTAGGACGACTCGGACAGTGAATAGTGACTAGTGAATAGTGACTATCTAGGCCCCAGCCCGTAGTTTTTGGTAGACCCCGGATTCCGGAGATTCGAGTCCCTAGATTCCCTAGCCCTAGACTCCTAGGTCCTTGGTGACTCTTCTTCATCCCCATGTGTCAGGCTCTGTGGTGGCTGTGCTGATTGTGGCTGCCGCGCTGCTGCCGGTGAGAGCAGCCGTGAGAAGATTCGAAACACGGCGTTCATTGTTCGAGAAATGAACAAATGATTCATTTTGCATGAGCCTCTGTTACATCACTAAGTGACTAAGACTCTTAGACTCTAAGAGTTTAAGCCCTAAGCCCTAAGCCCCTAAACTTCCGCCTCGTGCCTAGGGCCTAGGGCCTAGGGTTCGCTGTGCCTTGTTTGCTTTGCTGAGCCCCGGCAGTGGTACTTGGTGGTAGCAGCAAACGATCCTAAAGAATTTTGGGGCAGTGCTTCCCAAGTGCACAACGCCCAAAAGCCCATCTCTGACCTAGACCTAGACCTAGACCTAAGAGTAGGCTTGCAATCAGCCTATGGCGGCCTATAGGGCGGCCAATTGGCCTATTACATGGCCTATTACGTATAAATGTGGTAGAGCCTACTTTACACTTTCGCATCCCATCTTTGCCGCTTCTGCAAGTTGGCAGATATGATGTTCATGCATGTTTTTGGTTCAATTGTTGAACCTGATCTGGTCAGCTGTGGTTGGCATCCTGCAATGTTTCGCAGTGCCGTTCCTTGCCAGCCAGCAGCCGTTTGAAGCACTGGCCAGCTGGTGTTGTGTTTTTTGGGTTTTTTTCGAGCAGCTGGCTGCCTGCAAGGTTACGACTTACGACGACTTACGAATCAGGCAGCTGCTAACAAGGTGCAAAGACCTCACATCTCAGACATCTGTGACGTGTCGGCATTGACCACTCGTGCGAGTGGCCTCTGCACTGGCCATGGCGGTGCCCGCAGAGCCGGATGCAGGATGGGGGTCTGTTGTCGAGGACTTGATGGCTTCACAGGACTCAGAGGCCAGCTTGCTGGAAGAGGCAGAGGCATGCCGTTCATCAACCGACACATCGGACAGTTTGCCAGATTCGAGTTTATGGTGGGTCAATCCGCTGAAGGCGCACAGCAGCGGGTTCCAAAGACCTGTGCCGCCAAGGACACCACGTACCCTCCTGTCAGGCTGCACGGGCACAGGCGCTGACATTATGGTCTTCAAGGCCTGGAGGGAGTTGCGCAGCATCAGTTGTTGTTATTTTCTCAATAGTGATTCAATAGTGTCCTGGGTCCCAGTGACTCCTGGTCCTAGTTACCTAGTTTCCTAGTCCTAGTGTCCTAGTGTCCTAGTGGTCCTAAGCTAAGGACCTAGTGACCTAGTGGTCCTACTAGGGTCCTCGTCTAGGTCCAGGTCCTTGTCACCAGTCCTCGTCACTAGTCACTAGTCCTCTTTCGATTTTAGTCACCGTCATAGTCCTGGTGTCCAGTTATGTATGAGTCGATTGGCTGCCGCAGTTGTACGGTTGTGGGGTACAGCCACTAAGACTAAGACGGCTAGGTGGTTACGGCTAGGGCTAGGGCACTGGGGCACTAGGGCAACGGATTTTGTGGTGAGGTCTGGTATGGTAATGTATAAGGTGCGGGGTGTTGAGGTGGGGTGAAAAGCAGTTAGTTAGTTAATTAGTTAGTTAGTTAGTTAGTTAGTTAGTTGGTTACAGCTACTAGTTACTAAGACTAAAACTAAGACTAAGACTAAGACTAAGACTTAGACTTAGACTTAGACTTAGACTTAGACGCATTTTAGTATGGCAGTATAGTCCGGGGTACATGGCAAGATTCGAGATGTATGTGCATCACAGTGTATGGTGAGTTTTTCCATTCAGTTAGTTAGTTGTTAGTTGTTAGTGTAGCAGCTAGCTAGCTAGTCAGCTAGTCAGCTAGTCACGCTAGTCAGCTAGTTAGCAGCTAGGCTAGTCAGTGGCATAGTGGCATAGTGGTTTGGCGGAATGATACAGCTAGTCTGCTAGCTAGTTAGCTAGTTGCTGCTTGCTAGCTGCTAGCTGCTAGCTGCTAGCTGGCAATTGTTGAAATAAGTACTAAGTCTTGACTAAGTGACTGACTAAGTCTGACTAAGTATTGTGGATCATCAGTAACAGTTACAGTTACTCAGTTACTGCCCTCACGTGCCACTGTTTTTTTCTGGCGAGCTCCTGGAACAAGGGGGTGCCTTGCATGCCTGTCAGGCATTGGAGATTCCCTTCGTATGTGTCGGTGCCAGTGACACAGACAGTGGGTGCAGGGAGTTTCTGATGTTGAATCATGGTGCCGTCATTCAGCATATGCATTCGGCGATGCATGATCAGACAGAAGGCCGGCCGTGCCACTTTCATAAAGATGCTGAGAGCTGCAAGCTGGGAAAGGGCCACTCCATTGGTGTCTTCGGGACACCATGTCCGCCATATTCGCAAATGCGTTCGAAGCGGTATGTCACTGGAAGTGTCAAGGCACACTCATCATATTCCGTGATGTTCACCGAAGCAATCCTTTGGCTTCAGGAGCACTGCCCCTGTGTGGCAGTGCTTGAACAGGTACCCGGATTTGACCACCGAGAGTCCGATGATGTTGCGAGAACTCCGCTGAGCAGGCTCGCTGTTTATTTTAGTTTAGTTAGTTTAGTTATTATTACACTTACTTTAGCGACTTTAGGTTAGGTGAAACTTTAGTGACTAGACTAGACTAGCCACTAAAGCCCCTTGACTAGCAGTGACTAGCCGACTGACTAGCCGTACCTGGCCACTAGTCACTAGTCACACTAGTCACTAGTCGCTATTCATGTCACTAATCACTAGCCACTAGCCACTAGCCGCTAGTCACTAGTCACTAGTCACTAGTCACTACTCACTCAGTCACTAGTCACTAGTCACTAGTCATAGTCACACACTATGACACTATGATTAAGTCACTTATTGACTTATTGTCATTAGCTAGTCACTAGTCACTAGTCGTAACGTCCTAACTAGTCACTTGTCAAACTCGTCAGTTTGTTAAGATGACCACCCAAATCAAACTTGGATGCAGCTGCTGTAGCTGACTGTAGCGTGCTAGCTGCTACCTGCTAGCTGTTAGCAACAGTTACAATGACAAATTCATGATTTGTTTCTTCTTACTTTTGCTTTCTGTCACGTCATGGCCTAGTTGCAGGTTCATGGAAGACCTGGATCACGCGAGCTTTCCTGATGGCCAGGGGTGCCTGCCTCATTTTGCCCGAGTCAGCCGAATCATGAAGATCATTAAGCCGTTAAGAGGTTAAGCTCATTAAGATTCAGCTATAATGATAAATGGGTCAGCCAGCTGGTGCCAAATGACTAGGCTCATGATTATGATTAGGCACGGATTCAACCCTTTGATCCTGATTGCCGAAGCCGCTGTAATAGCCAATATTAGCCGAAGTAGCTAAGTAGCTGCTATGTAGCCGTTTCATGCTGTGACCGTGAGTTTGGTTTCGCTATGTCCTATGTTGCTACGCCTGCTAGGCCATGCTATGCCTGCTATGCCATGCTATGCCATCTGCTAAGCTGCTGATAAGCTGCTACGCCATATAATACATGCCATGCCATGCCATCTTGCCGTACTGAATCACTCTGCAGCTGCTATACCATAGTTACTATACTAATACGATACTTTACTACAGTGCTACAGTGACTACAGTTACTCTTAGCAACACACTGCCACAGTGCATAAACAACTTCAAACACAAGTGCTCAGTGTACCAAGGGCCCGCAAGAGTCGCAAGAGTAGGTGAGTAGGTCGGCCTTGCACGCAGAACTGTATGCCATCATTTCACGTAGTAATGTAGTAACGTGGTATGGAAATAGTTGCGACGTAGACGTAGTAGTTACAATGTACTTACATCCTGGCGTGTTGTGTCAGTGAAGGTCCAGGTCCTAGGTCCTATGTGCCTATGGTCCGGCCCTGCCCGGCCCTACCCGACCTATCTTGCCGAATCTTGCCCTCTCATAGCCGCCGAAATTGAAGCAGTCCACTCAAATTGTTTTGGCGAACCCCAAAACAAAAGTAGTTCCGTAACGACTTGGTGGACAACCTGTGCAGGTACATCGCGAGTGTTCAGCGGGTGGATATGGCAGACTATGTGGCCATTTCCCGGCCCAGGACAGCGGCTGTTGTACTTTGCCATAAAACAAAACATGCACCCAGACCTCGCCCTAGCCGCCCTAGCCCTAGCCGCCGTATCGGCCCTATCGGCCTAGCCCTAGGCCGTAGGCCTAGGAGGCTCTAGAGTCCTAGGGTCCTAGAGTAGACTGTGTTGAATCTACTAATCTACTGTACACTATACACACTGCAGAATATAGAATCACTAGCGTCGCTAGAATCTGCTAGAATGCTAGAATCACCAGAGCCACTAGAGTGATGATTTTGGGGCTTTTGGGTTTCAGATGCCGGCTTACAATGCTTTCTTGGGGGCATCATGTTGTAAATTATTCTTTCTGACATGGTCGAGCTGTGAGAGCAAGCAGCCTTCTTGAATCCACCTTGAATGCGTGTGCAGCTTCTTGGTTGCAGCCAGCCTTGCGTTGCCGATTGTTGCAAACAGTTCCCTGACAGAACACCCCCAGCCACGCCACATGAAAAACCGCGACCGAAGCCGAAATTCCGAGAACTGTATCATTGTAGCCGCTGTACTGTAGCTGTACCCGCCTGAGCTACCCATGTGGTCATATTTGACTGTGACCGTGGTAGTCATTCTAGTCCTTCTAGTCATGGTCATAGTCATAGTCATAGTCACATAGTCATTGTAGCCGCCCAATACCAGAGCCGCCCAGGCTTGTGATTGTCCAAGTCAAGTGATGATTGCACTAAGTTCTGACTGGTCTAGAGAGACTAGAGTCACTGTCACTAGAGACTAGAGTGACTAGAGTTGAGTAGACTCTTCAATTATGATCCAACCCGCATTTCGTGGCAGAGCTCGACACCCTATGCTGTGTAATGTGAAGCTTGATGGGTAGGGCGGGTAGGGTAGGGCAGGGTAGATCCACAGAGATGGAATGCTTCCATGCCTGGCCTATAGCAAGCGCGTGAGCTTTCCTGCAAAACAGGGTTATGTCTGAGCATTCAGATCCAAGTGGACTTGGATGGGCATCAGTTGCGGATGACCTGTTGACCCCGCCAGTGACACCAGCGGAAGCAGATCCAGATGGGCTCGGGTGGGCGAGAGTTGCAGATGAGCTGGTGGCCCCGCCGCTGGAAAGCTCTGCTGATGGTACTGGTACAGCAAATCCTGCCAGGCCTTTGCAAAGGAAAAGAGGCAGACCCCCCAAGCAGCGTGCAAGTGAGTCTGCAATCGTTTCCAACCCTGTGCCACAGCCTGATGCATCAGTTGGCTCTGCACTGAATGCCAGCAGCCGCAGAAGCAGCTATGAGATTCTGCAGGGCTTGGTGGCCACAGGGCAGGATGTGCTCTGTCGGATTGGGTCTGTCTTCCAGCGAAAACTGTGGGCCGACTTGTGGTCATGCGCTCAGCGACCTGCGAAGCAGGAGCACGAGGACGAGCATTCCGACCAGAACCCGGCCAAATTCCTTCTGACGGGCATGCCGCTGCTCAATTTGACCCAGCAGCATCAGCTTCTACAAACTGGTTCCGAACGGACTGTGGCACGTGATGAGAAGCGTCTTGCATGTGCTTCATTGCTTCTGTCGGGCCAGCTTGCAGGGTTCGTGTTGGCCAAATGCTGCCACATGACCTCAAAGCCCGAATCCCCTTGGTCATTCTTGGGTCTCTTTGTCAGAAGGAGGTACGACGAAACGCCGACGAAGATTGCTGTGCGGGAGGGGCATCAGCCAAATGTGTCGGATCAGGGAGGCACTGTCAAGAAGCATTCAAAGGCCCAGGTGGCCAAAGTGTTCCAGACCGAGTTGGCGTGTGGGGCATTACTTTACAACAAATCAACAGAAGAGTCATGCTTGATGAAAATGACCCTCCCAACGGTCATGAGTTGCGTGGATGCAGCTACTGCCGAAAATATCAAACTGGTGCAACGGCAGGCGGAGCAACTCATTGCTTCGATTGATTCTTGTGCCGCGCGGGCAAAACATGTCTGCAACATACCTGTGACGGACCGTGCTTCAGCCAACATTCGTGCTGAGCAGGACATTTGTGCTCAGCAGAATAATGGCATCAACAGCCATTTTCTTTGCAGGATACACAAAGCTTCGCAGATGCAAAACCGACAATTTTCCCACGTCGAGCAGCACATTTCAGGTCTGCTTCATACTGGCTTGTCTCAGCAGTCTGGAGGTTGCAGACAGAGGCTACGGGAGCTTTTGTACGAGATCATCGAAGATCGTTTGAATATATGCGTGGGTTCTCCGCCAGCGCATTTTGCAGCTCGGCGAGATGCTGCATTGTCATTGCCGCTTGATTGGTGATGGCACTTTGGGTTTGCTTGAGTTGGTTGGGATTTCGAGAATTGAACAAGATTAAACTAAATATCAAATATCTAATATTTTACTAAATCTAAATCTAAGTTAGTTAGTTCAATTAATAATTCGTAAATCTTACCTAGCTGCTAAAACTGCTAAAGGACCTAGCTGCTGGCTGACTTACGTTTACTAGTTACTAGTTACTAGTTACTAGCCGTTACCAGCCTGCAAGCAGCGCCATAACCAAACTAAGTAACTAAATGAACTAATTAACTGATTTTATTCTCGAGGTTTGTCGACTCAGACTTAGACAAGAGACTAGGAACTGCCCAGGGGCCCAGAGGACCGAGTAACAAGTAATTAGCAACAAGTCGCAGTAATGAAAGTAAGTAAGTAAGTACGTAGGTAGGTAGGTAGGTAAGTAACAGAACTAACAGGCTAGCAGCTAGCGGCAGCTAGCAGCTAGCAGCATGCCCATCAACAGGTCCTGCTAGAGTCTGCTACAAATCTGGGGTTCCTATGACGTAGTGACATAGTGACATAGTGGCCATAATAAATAAGCCATAGTCATAGTGCTAACCGTTACAAACTCCATAATCGGTAGCTTCCAGATACCTGCTCTCCTGCCAATTTTGTCCCTTCAGGTTCTTGGACCCATCTTGGAATGCACACGGGAAGATACCTGTGCAAAGAGTGGCGGCACAGAAGGCTGTGCTGTCGTATTTTTTCTCTGGCAACATTGACGATCATGAGACTGTGGAGTTTTGGACCACTTCACCCATCCCGAAGCCGCGTGTGTTGCAAATGTTCAAGAACACTGTCGTACCGATGTTAATCCCTTCAGCATGCCCGGTGTTTCCCCGCTCGCGGTGGATAGGCGGGGAATTCTCGGTCTCATGGGCAGGAGTCTTGTCATGCCTGCACAACCTGCTTCAACCACTTCTTGTCAAGTGGGGTGCTCCCGATGGTTTTGCGAAGCAAGAGCCTCGACGACCTGCTTTGACGTTGAAAGACTTCAGTGAGGGATGGAAGGATGTTGCGTCAAAGCTTCCTGCGACTGCTGGTGCAGAGTCTGCTGCAATCCTTGATGTTGACCCAACAGGCTGGGACATTCATTAATCTATTAACGAACTCATGCAGTGTTTAATAATAAGTCAAGTCTAAGAAGTCTAATAAATACCGTCAAGACATGTTTCTCCAATGTTCCAGTAAGATTCCAGTAATTATACTCACATCGTAATCCATAGAAGATAGGGCCGAGTTATAGTTATTATAGTTACTATAGTTGACATCTAAACTCTAGACAGGTGCCAAGTCAGGTAGCAGGTAGCAGGTGCCAACACTAACACTAACGGATGGTTTCGTGGCTTAGCTTTTTGGATTGGGCTGCTGACATCTATTCTGGGGGATTTGCCTTTCTTTTCTTTCCAGGATTCTAGGACTCTAGGACAAGGACTAGGAGTCTACGAGGACTAGGACCAGTGACTAGTGACTAGTGGCTAGGAGGACGTGACTAGGACTGTGAGCCGGTGTTGCTCGGGGTTTAAAATTTCGATTCTAGACTCTAGACTCTAGAATCTCTAGAACCGACTAGAATTACCACAGTTACTAGAATCTCTAGACTGTAGAAGTTTAGAATTTCGATACAAACTATTCCTTGCAGGGCATGCTGATGACGCAGCAGCAGAGGCAGACGATGCCGGGCAGCCTTCTCTTCTGGATGCGGTGCTCGCATCCTTGGATTGGACACAGATCAATGCCTCGATGAAGCTGAAGAGTGCAAAGTGGGCAATGGGCAAGTTGACGGGTGCCAGTCTTGTTGCGATGCGGCACTGCATGCGCCCCTGCCTGTTCCTCATGCATGGCCTTCTTGGTCGGGCAGGCCTTCGCTGGGAGCGCAAGCAGCAGATGCTGGCATCGCAGAAGAAACCTCGAGAGTTTCGGCCTGTCGTGTCGCCAGAGCTGACTCTCCAGACTTTTTCGAAGCTGGAGCAATGCTTTCATGGTACAGTGCCAGCGTTGGCTGTGCAAGACAGAACAAGGAGATGCCGTGTTCTCATGTTCAGAATGCTGGCAACTGCTGGGGGCTGTTTGGAGATGATTATGGGATCATCCGACAGGGGCTTTCCGTACAAACTCTTTCGTCTGGTCCTGTTGGGCAACAAGGAGGCAATCCAGAAGGAAATCTTTGATGAGGCTCCCGAATGTTTGTATGATGAACTGACGTGGAAAGTCTTGCAGGACTACCCTTCTGCTGACGCACTGCTGTCTCCGGAAGCGGTTTCCTTCATAACCGCGCTGTGTGACATGATATCTTTGGACATAGCGGGGGTCGAAGCGAGACATGCCGCAGCACGACGGATTCAAGTCATGAGGTCTGTCCAGAAAAAAGTGATGACGTTCGACTCATTGGCTGCGGTGACTGCATGCAGAAGCCTCGTGAAGCAACGATTTGACTGGTTGCAAGCATATGAGGGACAGCTTTTGACGGCTCCGAAGCCGAAGCCCCACAGATACCGGAGACGCAAAGCCCAGGCACATTTCGGCTGAGACCTAGGTCCTAGGTCCTAGGTCGTAGATCTTAGGTCTTAGGTCTTAGGTCTTAGGTCCTAAGTCTTAGGCCTTAGGTCTTAGGTCTTAGGTCGTCTTAAGTCTCAAGCCTTAGGTCTTAGGCAGTAACAGGTAGTACCTTAGTACCAGGTACAGGTACAGGTACAGGTAGTAAAGTTAGTAAATTAGTAAAGCTAGGACAGCTAGGACAGCTAGGATGGAATATTCCAATCTGTCCAATATCAGATATCAGTGCCAAAGACAATCGTAGTATCATTGACCCTGAGGCCCCTGGCCCTGACCTGTAAACCCTAAACTGGCCCTAAACCTAAACCTGTTTCTTTTCAAGTGTAGCAGCGTAGCAGTGTAGCAAGCCTGGGCCGGTGTAGGGCTTAGGTTTGTGACTTTAACTGACTCTAGTAGCTGCACTGTAGCTTTATCTCTGATGCCTCCAGTTACTCGTTAACTCCACTTCTTTTTCCTTTCAGGCAAAGAAAAAGAGAGGTGGTGGGGGAGCTTGGCGTGCCTTTCAACACTTGAAGAAGGGCAAGCTGATGGACCGTGCCAGAATTGCTGAGGAATACCGCCAGTTGAAATCTCAGGCTGGGGCAGAACTTGACGAGGTGCAAAGGCTGGGCCGTCTTGCGACCCAGGCACATCAGGCTGGCCATGAGTCATTTGGTCGAAAACCATCGAGAAGGATGTTGCGCAAGGGAGATCCCGGTGTTGCGGCGTTGCCTCATGCGCTGTCAAAGGAGCTCGGGAATGTGCAAGCAGACTGCCGAGCGACAAAACGTCAAGAGTCAACTGAGTGGCATGGCCAATTGCAGTCCTTGGCTTTGTGCTGCCAGAAGGAGCGTGAGGAACTGCTGCGGCATGACAAAGAAAACACTCCTGCAGGAGAGCTTGCCAGGGCTATGTCCTCTTCGCTTCTCCCAGTGCCAGCTCGTGCTCGTGTTCTGACATTGGATCTTTTGCTGCCAGCTGCCGAGCTGACGAAGGACGGCCTGCACCGTCATAAGAGATGGAATTCTGGGACTCTGCGATTGTGTATACAGTGTAGACTCGTGTGACTCTTTAGACCGTATACGCCGTTAGAAGAATGTAGCCTCTAGACTCTAGACATCCCTAGACTCTAGACCCCAGGGCCCTAGGGCCCGAGGGCCCCTAGATTCCCTAGATTCCCTAGATTCCCTAGATTGTAGATTGCAGATTGTAGATTCAGTAGATTCAGTAGATTGTATGTCGTACGTCGTAGGTGTCGTAGATTCCTAGATTCCAGGTCCTAGGTGCTTCTAGATTTTAGCTTAGTCTAGCTAGCTCAATAGCTTGGAGGTGGAAAGTAACATACCTATGTCGGACTTATATCGCCCGGAACCCTTCAACCACAGCAATTCCCCATCATCAACCATCATCGAAAACCATCCTTATCTAAGGCTCTAAGGACCAAGAAGACCAAGCATTCATCATCATGAGTTGAAGACCAGGAATACCAAACCGACTTACCGGGACCCGCCGGACCTACCCGACCCGAGATACCCATCATTACGATCATCACCAGTACAGAGCGGCAACTGTCATTCATGTCATATTGTTAATCGTTGCAGTTCCGTAGTAACTTAGACTAACAGTTAGTAGTTCCATCAACGTTGGTGATGCATTGCAGGCGCTCTTTGATCGTGCAAAGATTGGCTTCCTTGGTCAACTGGAACAAGAGATGGATGCAAGAACAGACATGCGGCTCCACAAGGATGCCCCGAAGCTACTACCAGTGGACAACAACCTGGGATTTTCTTTGGCTCCCTGCCATGCTGCCGGAGTTTGCATTTGTGCAGATGGTGGCATGCTCTCCAGATTGCGTCAGAATATGGTTGAGTTGCTCCGTCCAGCTCTTCGTGTGCAGCAGCAAAAAGCAGGCACTGAGAAAACGAAGTCCAAGAAACCAGCTGCACGTTTGTTGATGGAGCAAGCCATGCTAGTCTTCAAGTTCGAGTCTGCCCCAACAGCCACAGCACATGTCCTTCCAGATCCGAACTGCAATTGGGAGCAAGTCAGCCGCGAAGTGGCAGGTGACCTGCAAATAGCTCCCGTTTCTGACTTGGGCACCTTTGCAAAGAAGACTCTTTGGGCACATGTTCCGTATGGCCACTTCCGAGATTGGAAATTCACTTTCCTTTTTTTGGAAGAGACTGGCCAGGGCGAGAAGCGATGCAGCCGGACAGGGCAAGCTCTGACAGAGTTACGCGTGCCTGTCCATGCTGAATTTCTCACGGATGTGGTTGCGTTTCAGCAGAAGTTCGACTTGGATTGTGCTTGGCAAATGTCCCTGCATGTGATCTACCTTGATGATGAGCAGCTTCCTCTGTTTGACACGTCCCCGGATGTGGTTGAAGTCATGCGGCAATCGACTGTCCCTGACATGTGGATTTGGAAGGCTCAACATTGCCAAACCTGTGCGTGTGTGTGTGTGTGTGTTGCAAGGTGGTGTCATGTCCTGGTAGTTGATAGTAGCCCGGTAGCAGGCAGCCCGACGTAGGTCCGGTAGATTTGATTAGATTGCTAGATCTGCTAGATCACTAGGTAGCAATTAGCAGTTAGCAGTTAGCAGGTAGCAGCTCCAGGTAGCAGGTAGCAGCCAGGTAGCAGCAGTCTCATCTTCTTCGGTCCTAGTCCTAGCCCTAGCTGTTCCAGCTGGCCGAGGTCATGTCCCCCTAACCAATTTGTGGTTCTCTAGGACTCTAGGCACAGTCAGGCGTCACTAAGTTTAAGTCGCTAGTCACTAGTCACTACCCATTTGCAGTCTAATGCATCAACCATCAGCAGAAAGTATTGCTGTAAACTCTAGCCTGAAGCGAAGTCATAGCTAGGTAGCTAGCAGCTAGCAGCTTGCAACCATGTCCATTGATCGCACAGGGCAGATATGAGGAGAAGCGGCTCATGTCCTTGCCAAAGCCGGGGCGGAAACGATCGGGCACGAGGCCTCCTGGGATTCGTCCTGCTGCTAAAAGAACTCGGCAGGCAAGTTCCCACGGTGCTGCCGCCGCTGAGTCTGCTGACGTCACTGAAGTCATGGAAGCACATCAAGAGGTCGAAGATGATGTTGCAAGCGATGCAGAGTCCACCGGTGCTCGGGATGATGAGGCTATGGCTTCCTGGATTGTGGACCGAATCAATCGAGCTGATGATGCAGCACGGTCCATGCAGCCAGCGCCGAAATCAGTGGAATCAGGAGCTTCAGGAGCCCAGAAACAGTTGAGATTCAAGCCGGTGCAGGAGCAGCCAGGCGGTTCTGCAGCATCTTCGAGTGGGAGCCATTTGGTTTTGCCACCGGAGCGGCCTTCTTCGACTTCAGCCTCCATGGGTGGGGACATGGCGCCGGTGCCACATGAGCCAGCTGTTGGTCTGCAGGGAGAAGGCGATGCACGAGCCAGTGCAAGTCGCAAGCGCTCACACACTGAGCAGATCTTCTCACTTGGCAATGTGGGATCGATCCATTTTTATCCAAAGGCTCGAAATTTCGTAGCTTTCTGCAAAGCGCCGGGACATGAAGAGTGCCGGCGAAGCAGGGCGGCTAATGCTGCCACTTCTAACCGAGCAGATCGCCAAGGGCAGGGGAGGCCGATTGGTTTCTTAGCACATTGGCTTTATTCCTCAAAAAACCACAGGGACAAGGAGAGCCACTCAGCAGACATACACTTCACTCAGTCGGATCGGATGGCTGCGAGGGAAAGGCTCATGAGCTTGCCCCAGGCAGCTGAATTTGTGGTCAATGAGAGACCTCAAAGGCCCGGAGAACCATCTGAGCCTTTCGACATTTCTTGAGTCACTGGTCAGAGATGTGGCCCATGGCCAGGCCAGCAGCCAGTTCCGTGAGTTGGCAACGCATCAGCCTTATATGTCGTAACCCCATGTCTTATGTCATCTTACGTTCGTCACGCGCGACTCTTATGTTACAGCATTATGAGCAAACAATGACATGTGTCAGCGTAATGAGACTACTGAATACTGACTGGCTGTCGGGTCTCGGCGTTCAAGCTTGCTCATGAAACAGCGCATGGCCTTGATATGTTTCACCTGTGCGTTGGGGCTTGAAGTGCATCTCTGTGATGTAAAATCGACTCTGGCCACAGTGAGAACATTGAATATTGAATATTAGGCTGGCATGAATAAGAGTTGTCAAAGCGGCTATAGCGGCCGGTTAGCGGCTAGTGCCAGCTAGCTAGCAGCAGCTAGTGACAGCAGCTAGCAGCTAGCTAGTGACTAGTGAGTGAATGACGGTTAATGATTCGTGACTAGTGACTAGTGATTAGTGTGGCTGCGGCTACTGACATCTACTGGTGAGTGGCTGTTGTCACAGGTGATTGATTGTGTGACTGGGGCTGATAACCTGACAATCCTTAATACCACCCACCCCCTGCTCATCACCCATGACGTGGCAGGATCTACATGGTGCTCTTCCGCCGAGACATTTACAGTCAGGCCGATGTTCATCGGTTTGAGACGATGCTGGGGGCTCCTTCCTTGCAGTTTCAAGTGTGTGGTGACTTACTGACTAAGTAGCAGCTTAACTAGCAGCTAGCAGCTAGCAGTACTCACAGTTAGTAGCTTAGTAGCTGTTACTAACCCGTCTCACAGCTCGCAGCCAGCAGCATCCAGCACCGAGCAGGCAGTATGTGGGTGCTGAGATTTTCTCCAGGGTTGTAAGTTCCTGACGGTCCAGCATTTCAGTGACAGATTGAGTCATTCTATCCATCATGTTTGTTGGGGCCTGGGAAGCTCACCTACTCGGTTTTCGATTGCAGCATTCGCTTTTGTTTAGGTGAGATTTCCATTTCTTGGGGATGCAGCCAGCAGGTCTTGGCAGATATGTTCTGTTCCTGTGGTTGTTCTTGAAGTAGACTCAGTAGACTCGAACCCGAGATTCGTGAGATTCCTGACATTCCAAGAATTGCTCAAGCCCGGAAGATGTAGCCAGAAGTGTTCAGGCTAGCGGCTAGAGGCTAGAGCTGCTAGGTCAGTCCAAGCTGCAAAGTTACTAGTTACTCGGCACCAGTCGGTCCTTGTTTATAGTATTCTAGTTGGCACCTTTCTTGGCAGCACACTTTGTGGACGAAGTAGAGTGTATGGGTAAACGATGTCCTGGAATCCTATGTCCTGAAAGCCTAGGGGCCTAGAGTTCCTAGAGTCGTAGAGTCGTAGAGTCGTAGAGGTCCTGGAAATGTCGGTTACTTGAACATGCCATTGCAGACTACCCAAACATCTTTGATTAATTTCACACCGGGTCTCTACCCATTGGTCATCGCCCAATAGAAAAGTTACAATACACCGTTCTTCTAAAAGTGTGCGGTGTCACCCAAATTCATAAAATTGTTTTGTGCATCTGAGGACATCCGGCGACTGCAGAAAGAACGTGGTGAGATCATGAAGCCGTCCGACTTGCTCATGGACCCGTCTCATCCCGATTATGGCTGCAACATTCTGTCATTGCAGCAGCGCCAGGACAATCGTAAGCAATTGCTGTCAATCTTTCTCAGTGCCAAATGGTTTTAATGATTCATGATTGCGAATGACAGGGGCTGTGTCGGCTGTGAATCGTTTGTTGATGGTGGTTATTGGTGATTCTGATTGGTGACTAAAGACTCGTGACTAGAGAATCCTAATCCGGGACTCGTGAAACTACTGAGTAGTGTTTGGTAACAAATGGCACTATCCGTTCACTATTCACTATACAGTACTATACAGCATAGGGGCATAGGCCATGGGCATGAAGTCCATCATTCACTGAAAATTAGACATGGAAGGTTCCCGTCCACTCAGAGTCGTTGCATTTCCCGTCACATTTTCCGTCACATTTTTTCCAGGGATAGGTTTTGATCTCTTTTTCGGTTGCTTTATTTTTACATTTTTCATCTCAATCTATTTGCCATTGCCTTTTCAGTCACTTTGGCCATTGCTCTTTTTCCACATTTCCAAGCACTTGTCTCTGTGCTTCTTTTGCTACCGCCACATTCTTTCCTTTTTTTGGATCACATTTCTGTCAGATTGTTTGCACATTTGTCAGTGCATTTCTACTCGTCGTTGCTTTTTTTGTTGCTTTGTTTTTGCATTTTTTCCAAGGTTTTTTCATTTTCTTTTACATGTTTCACACATTTCACATTTTTTTTTACATTTTTTTTTACATTTTTCGCTCATTTCACATTTTTGTCACATTTTTTTCACATTTTTTTCACATTTTTTTCACATTTTTTTCACATTTTTTTCACATTTTTCCTTGCATTTTGAGTACATTTCGCATTTTCGGGGCCCTGCCCCAGCCCTCCGACCCCAGGCCCCAGCCCCCCCAACCCCAGGCCCCAGCCTTCCGGGCCCAGGCCCCAGCCAGCCTTCCCAGCCCCCAGGCCGCAGGGGCCTGGCCAGCCCCCCCACCCTTCCGGCCCCTCTCCCTGCCCCCCGGCTCGCGCCCTCCCAAAGTGCGGCCCCTCCTCCAACCCCCCCCACACCCCTGACCCCCTTGCCCCGGCCCCAGCACCCCCCCACCCCCTTCTACCGACCCCCACCAACCCGCAAGGCCGAGACCCCCCCCCACCGCCCACCACCCCCGTCCATTGCGAAAAAAGGCCCCCCTATACTGGCGGGGCTTTTGTCAACCCACCCGGCCCGGCCACCCGGCCGGCGCGAACCTGGCCGTGTGGGGGTGTGTCTTGTGTGCTGGAGCCTTTTTGAGATTTTTGTGGGTTTTCGAGAGGGGGTTTTTGCTCGGACCCTGTTGTTGTTTCCTTCTTCTCGGTTGCTTTGGCTGGATGGAAATATATTAATATACTCATAGTCACAATCATACTCAGATTTGTGGACTGTTGTCCTGCTGTTGCCTATTATGTTTCTTGGGTGCCACTACTTACACTACTTCTAAGCCTAAGGGCTAAGGCTTAGGCTTAAGCCGCTAAGGCTCTAAGCCAAGCCTTTCATCTTTTAAGCTTTAAGTTTATTCGTCTTAGTCTTAGCTGTTACCTGCTTTTATCAGCCTGCCATAAGCCTCCAAGACTCTAAGCCTTAGTACTTCGGTGTAGCCACTATTAAGTTACTAGGTCCTTATTAGCTAAATGGCCGCTACTTGTTACTAGTTACTAGATTCTAGTTAATAGAGTTTTATATTGTGAACAGCTTCGGGGCTGGTGATGCACTTCAAGGATAATGATCTCGCGATGATGATGGCTGTGCTGAATAGAAAATACCTGTCAGGATGCTGCCCGGAGCGGAAGGGCATCGACTTGTGAAACCTCCTGGATGGCCCAAGCGGTGAAGTGTCTGAGGATATGCGTGTTTCTGTGCGGACAGAAGCCTGGACGGGCAGACCCACTTACCAGGGTGTGGGTGTTCCCAAGAATCATCGTGTGACGACGCTGTTGAACTTGTGTGCAGTTCAACGGCTGAGGGATGAGAAGAGGCAGCTCAGTTGCATTGCCGGTCGGAAGGGTCCGCCGGAGAGCTTCAAGGATTTTTTTGTGGACTACAGCCAGAACCCATCCCGGAAGAAGTATTCGAAGCAGGGCAGTGGCATGGTCCATTGCATGTGTTCATCGACTTGCCTGTACTCCTATGGCTTGGACAGAGCTTTGTTTCCAGTAGAATACCTGCGCCTGCAAGGCTGGGGATTCGATACACAGGTTCCCGGTCAGTCAGCAGGCAAAGTCCAGCAGATGGCAGGTCAAGGGATGGCATTGCCTTGTTTGGCCTTGATCATTTGGTCGGCTTATTTGGTGAAAGGCCTGCCAATGGAAGGCGAATCCGATGTAGTGTAGTGACATGATGTAATGTAGTGCAGAGACCAGCTGGTGGCTGCTAGCTGCCAGTGTCACAGTGTGGCTCTGCTCTGCTGTTGCCGCAAGGCATCAAGGCCAGGGTGTCAGGACCCGGAGGCACAGTGTGGCAACGAGACCTGGTAGGACCTGGTAGGACCTGGCAGCCGCCATTTTGCTAGTTTTACTAGTTACTAGTTACTAGTTAGGTCCAGTTAGGTTAGATTCGATCAGATAGTTAGGTAGTAGTGATTTAGAACAAAGTATTAAACGGTAGCGACTTAGTAACTAGCAGCAATTGCAGCAGTCACTAGCAGTGACCTAGGGACCTGGTTTTGCCATGACATGGCAGCATGTTAGTTAGTTTGTTTGTTACTCGTTGACTTGACTCAGTAGTATCACTACTAAGTACGTTTTAGTCACTAGACTCTTAGACTCACTAGACGAACTGACTGTTTCTTAACATTACAATAAATATAAGATCATGTTTGTATTTTTTGGTATTTGCATGATTGTAGCTAGCAGCTAGCAGCTAGCAGTATATATATATATACACACATAATATACATATATACATATATGCAGTAATCATGTATTAGTCTTATTAGTCAGTTAGTAGCATTATTGTGATCATTATGTTTTTTTGTTGTCTATTACACCATTTTGCCATCCTCATCCTAGGTCCAAGGGTATTTGCTGCCCGCCAGGACCACCATACTTTGGCTAGCGGCGAGTCACTGTTTATAATCGAGTACAGGAAGACTGAATTTCATTATAAAGTGCAGCTTTCGGGCGACATGGGTGTTATTTGTTATCTCTTATCCCAAACTTTGGGAGTGATCTCGGTACCGGTAGCGGGTAGCGGGTACGCTGCCGGAATGTTGACATAACATAGTTGTTACCAATGACTAATCACAGCAACATAGTGACACAGTACAGTTTCGTGTGGTAAAGCATGTGTAGCTGCAGTGTAGCTGAGTCGCAGAGCAGCAGTAGTAGCAGCAGTAGCAGCAGTAGCAGTAGCAGCAGCAGTAGCAGTCAGTAGCAGTCTCATTAGCAGTAGCGTAGCATCACTTGCACCGTAGTGCTGTAGTGTAGCAGTAGCAGTCAGCAGCAGCAGCAGCAGCAGTAGTCACAGCAGCATCATAGTCATAGTCGTAGCCGTAGCCGTAGCCGCCGTAGCCGTAGCCGTAGCGAAGCATCCAGAGTCCAGAGTCTTTGTTGGTAGCTGGGAGCTGCTAGCTGCTGGCTGCTAGCTGCTTGCCTGCTGTTTGATTACTGGTTAATCAAAGGACTGTTGTGTTGTGTGTCTGATGATGGTGAGCATGGTTAGGAGGGTCAGGAGGAGAAGGAGGATGGCGAGCATGGTGTGCGACAAAGAAAGCAAAAGTCAGACAGTGTTGTGTGGAAAAAAAAAAGATTGGTTAGCTACGGTTAATTAGTTAGTCAGTTAGTTAGTTAGTTAGTTAGTTAGTATCATGAGTTATTCACTATTCACTAGTTACTAGTTTCACTAGATATATTTTTTCATTGAGTACTAGTATAGTATAGTAAATTTTGTCGTAAAGTTATAGTTATTCTGGTTACTATATTTACTGTACTGTAGTTACTGTAGTTACTGTACTTACAGCTATACTTACCATTACATTGATTACATTTACCGGGGTCATCAGGTCACTATGGAGTCCATCTCGTATTCTTAGTAATACTACTGTCCTACTGATGGTCCTACTAGGTCCTAGGTCCTAGTCCTAGCTGCTACACTTTACAACACTAGCATTATGCTGTTTTTGTCCAGGCTATAGCACTATAGCGGCTATGCCATATTAAGTAATTAAACTAGTAACTATTACGAACTTGCAATTACAATGCCATCGAAAACCACTGTACTGTATTACGCTTTCTAAAACTTACTACTAACTGTTACTAACTACTAGTTACTAAGCTTATGATGCCGTGAATGTACTATGCCATGTCAGTCCAAATTTTATTGTGTTTATGTCTATGTCTATTGCAGTCGCTGTTACTGATATCCGATACTTTGCGACATGATTTTTTAATGTTGAGTTCTTTAAATGGTTAGAGGAGTAGTCTGAGTAGTGAGTAGTGACTAGTGACTAGTGGAGTTGCTACATTCTTATAACACGCAGCACACTACAGGGCCTGGGCCCACCAAGCCTGGCCTCATTAATCTCTGTCACTAGGCACTAGACTCACTAGACACTAGACGTCACTAGACTTGCTGAGCGCATTTTCGGTAATTTTTTTAGTTAGTTGTGGTTACAAATCACAGTCTCGTTGTCCAACTATATTAAATTATATGTAAAAACATTGCTACTGAGCTGCTACTGCTACAGTTTATGGTGTGGAATTGCATGATTCAATCTATTGAATCTATTGAATGGCACTACAGTCACTATATTTCATTGAAGTATAGTTAGCCTAGTAGTTTTCTATAACCATGGTTCATGATTGTACCAGTGTTACTAAGTTACTATGAATAATACGAATACTAAGTTGCTAAAGTTACTTTAGTACTAGTTACTAGTCACTAGTCACTAGTCAGTCAAGTTTTGTGTAGAGTCTAGAAATTTATATGGATTACATTGATTACATGAAATCATCCTATAGTATACAATGTTGTATAGTATACTATACCATGCATTCTGTTGCGTTAAGCCGTTAAGCCTTTAAGCATATGCCATGCTGTGCCATGTCACGCCCTGCCATGCCAGGGTAACGGGTAACGGTACGTACGGCGGCAGGATGGGGTGGCTGCGGCTACAGCTACGGCCTGGGTTACTCTAAGTCCGGGTGCAGTGTAGTGTAGTGTAGAGTCCAGGGTTTAGAATCTACAATGTGTACAATTGTACAATGTAATGTAGGTCAATGTAGGTAGGTCATCTGACTCTAAGACTCTCGGACTCTAGGTCCCTAGGTCAGGTCTTTAGGTTTAGGGCCAAGTTTAGTAATTAGTATAGTATAGGTGGATATAGGACTAGGAGTCTAGGTCTAGAGTCTAGGTCTACACTCTACACACGACAATCACTCGTCTAGTCACTATACTATACTATAGTCAAGAGTCTAGAGTCTACAGTACGTCTAGAGTCTAGGACCTAGGACCGTCTAGGAATCTTTCGCCCGGGCTTAGGGCTTAAGGCTTAGGGGAAGCATGAGCCTTTCTTGAGGGATGCCTGTCACTCATGGTGTTGATGTGCATTGCACCATGTGCATTGTCCATTGTACATGTGGGAAATTCAGCTGGCAGCTGCCGTGCCGCATGCTTTCGCAAGACGAGGATCCTTTGGAGGTGGGTGTGCCTCGAAGTGACTTGACTTACTCAACGACATAGCCCGCATAAGGCATAAGGGGTTTCAATTTTTGATCTTAGCTTCGAGATTCTAGATTCTAGTCACTAGTCACTCGTCTAGAGTCTAGAGTCTAGGGAGTGATATGTCCTGGTCTTTTGACTTGGCCGGCTTGCCAGCGTGCCTGACCAGTGGCAAGTCAAGCCTGGCAGACGCCAGCCTGGCAGGTGTGAAGTGTAAGTGTAATCTGTGTAATCATGTTTCATCTTTATTCGTAGTCCTAGTCCTAGTCCTAGTCATAGTCCTAGTCACGGTCATAGTCATAGCCGTTAGTTCCCTGCATGTTGTAGGCAACTAAGCCGCTAGGGCCAGCTAGGGTCAATTTAGAGAGAACCGTTTGAATCTATTGCAACTATTTGCAGTCATTTAAACTTGCTGTTACAATGCCACACTGCTACAATGCTACCAGGCGGCTGCTGCTGTCACTGGTCACTAGTCACTCGCCGCCACTAGTCCACCCGTGAGTGCTGACTGCAGTGGCAGAGTTTTTTGTGATTTGACCACTAGTCACGAAGGCCAGCGGCGAAGGCCACCAGGGTCAGTAGGTCACTAGGTCACTAGGGCCTCTAGACAGTACAGTATAGTATAGTGACAGGTGGAACTGTGCACAGGGACGAGATCCACCAGGAGTCTTCTGATTTCATCGTTTCAGTGTTGATGTCAATAGCTCAATAGCTTCTGTATTATATATTCTATAGATAGAGTATGAGTAAGCCATACAGTGCCATACAGTGCCATACAGAGTACAGACTGTAGCCGTTGTAGTCGTAGCAGCCGCAGCCGGTGTGGCCGGTAGCCGGTAGCAGAAGGATATGATAGTGACCCTGTGCTTGCGTTTACAAAGTCTACAATCTGCAGTACAGAATCCAGGCTCGACTGCTAGACTCCTAGACCTAGACCTCTCAGACGGTTAGACTAGAATGGCTAGAATCGGCTAGAATGCTACAGTGCTAAAGCTGCTGCTAAAGGTCGGAAAAGCTGAACGGCTTAGATGTGGAGGATGCTCGGTGCCTCTGCTTTGTCCTGGCTACTTCGTTGTGAGAAACAGGTTGGGTCCTGTTTGTCCTGCTGGCCGGTGAGCTTAGCTGAGCTCTGTGCTTGTTGTGCGATGACCAGGCGCATTCCAACTTAATCAGCAGACAATTCGCAGCTCCTCGCATGATGTGTTGTTGTCGACTGTCAACATGTTGTCACAAAGATCAAACATCAAGATTGTGCTGGGTGTGTTTGTGTTTGTGTTTGCGCCCCGCTTTCGGGGCTCACCGGCAGCATTTCTGCTTCACTGGTGTCGAATGGGTGCCAGGCTGCTTGCTAGTTTCCGGTGCAGGCCGGCCATCCTGCGATGTCTTGTCCCAGGTCCGGCCAGACTCCGGGATATTCAGTAAAGTCAAGTAGAGTACTACGTAGAGCTAAGTAGAGTCAGTAGAGTCAGTAGAGTCGTCGTAGAGTAGAGTACTGCGTAAGGTGAATAGAGAATAGAGTCAATAAAGTCAATAGAGTCAATAAAGTAGCGGAATGGCTTACTGCATTGGTTCGAGTCGGTTACAGTTAGAGTCAGTCGAACTGAAGACTGGGTACAGGAAGTTAACGGATGAAATCATCCAGTAAGTCTCAGTAAGTAAGTGGGTAAGTAGTAGTTCATCATCTGTCATTCTTCAGTTTTGGTTTGTTACAGCCTGCCCTCTACTCCTGACTTATTGCTGTGCAGCAATAATTCACCCAAGAAAATGAATACAAATCACATCTTGGCCTCAAAAGAGATCCTCCTCAATGGAGCATCTAGAATCTAGAATCTAGTGGGGTTTCAGGTAGTCGCTGGCCAGGCTTCACAAGGTAAGTAGTGGATCACTAGCTAGCAGCTAGTGCAGCTAGCTAGAGCTGTTAGCTGTTAGCGCAAAGGGTCAACAACTGTTGCATGTTTTTATGTTTGCTTGTATGCCACTCACTCGGTTTGAATTCTTGCAGCATTCTAATTTTGTAGTGTCACGACCTGGTAACCTGAGCGCCCCTTGGCTACGCCGCTAGGGCCGCTAGGGCTAGGGCTGCTAGGGCTAGGCTAGGGCCTAGGGTGTCTCGGAGTCGGCTGATGAGTACCATAAGAATGTGCGAGGGACCTAGTCACCTACCTGATTCTTCGGGCTTTTGGCAGCATGCATCCGGCAAACACGCAGAAACTCTGGGCACTGTAGGCTGTAGGCCAAGTTCTTATATACTAGGTCCTAGGTAGTTGGCTGTTGCCATGTCCAGAGTCTAGAGTCTAGAGTCTAGAGCTTAGAGTCAGTGGAGTGCCTATGCTAATGATTAATGATTTATTGCTTAGTGACTTAGTGTCTTGTCAGATCGAGCCCAGGCCTCATGGGCCTAGGGCCTAGTCGAGTCGAGCCTAGTCACTCTAGTCTAGTCTAGTCAAGTGGCTGAGTGAGATGTAATATGATATGGTAACATAGTAATATAGTTCAGTTAATAAAGTTGACATAATTAGTGCAGTACAGTTACTACAGTCACAATGTATATATATATATATATGTATATATGTATATATGTATATATGTATATATGTATATATATGTATATATATATATATAATATGGTTACTCAAGGGACTGGACCCCTGATTATTGATCGATTACTGAGTACTGAGTAGTGTCATGACTGTCATCGTTAATTATCGTTTGTTAACCGTTAGTTATTAGTTGCTGACATTAATCGGACGTAGTGACGTAGTGATCATTCATAAAAAATCAGTGGTAACTCCGTAGTAACGCCGTAGTACTGACGACTATAAGGATGACTACTGATAAATCTTAGTGGCATTCAGTGCATAGCCGCTGCAAGCACTGTCTTTGCCATGCATGTCTGCGCCAAAGAACCGGAGTCGTGTGAAGAAATAGTATGTGCTAGCTTGGCAACCTCTAGGCCCTAGGCGCCGCTACCCGGTAGCGGGGCACCTTGCCACACATACAAGCTGCAACTGGTGGCTGCCAGCAAAGGCTTGCTTCAGGTGGCCGCATGACACCCTTCTGCTTGGCTTTGAGTTTTTGTCTAGGAGCCTAGGACTAGGACCCTAATTACCCTAATTAGGCCCTAGGTCCCTAGGTCTATATTCTGGATTCAGTGTGGGCGCAGCTGTTGTAGCTGCAATGTAGCTGCTCTGCTGTGGCTGCTGCTATGACTGCTATGATAGCTGCTATGACATGACGGCTATGCATCGATGTATTAGTTTATTACAACTACTAAGTACTACTAATCGAGCCAAGGATGTGCAGTGCAGTGCCTTTCTGGACTCTGCTTACCCTGGTGGTCATGTTGTTTTTGTTGTTGCTGTTGTTGATGTTGTTGTTGTTGGAAGAATTGGGTGCACTGGTTTGGAGATTTGGCCTAAAGTTTAAGCTTTCTTCAGTTGCTTCAGTCGTTTCAGTTGTTTTACTTGCTTAATTCTGTTTCGTGGATGTTACACAGGTTTCTTCACATGTTCATCCATGAAACATTAATCGGCTGTTGAAGTTGCCATCAGAGAGGATGTTCTTCACCGTCACTTCCATGTCCATGCTGCTGCTGGAGTTGTTCATGGGCAGGTCATCCTCCACAGATCCGTGCGCAGAATCAATTGAAGCCACGGACAACCGATCTCATTGTGTCCCGGGTGTGATTGTGTCTGTGCGTGTGTGTGTGTGTGTGTGTGTGTTTCTATGACAGGCCCAATGATGGACCGTTCGAGGTGGTTTTGAAGCTTGCAGTCTCACGGTTGTCAGGGTTTCGCCGGCCGCAGTAGAAGCAGAGGTCATTTCATTGCCTGTTTTAGCCATTTGTCTGTGATCACGAGTGACGTGCTTCTGTGTGTGTTCGCTGCCGGCATGGCGGGTCAGGTGACTGGGCCAGAAATTCAGCTTGCGTTAGGCCGTTAGGACTCTAGGACTCTAGGACCCTAGGACTGTAGGTAGGTGGGACTCTGGGGGTCAGAGTGTGAGGTTAGTCCGTTAGTCAGTCTACAAAGTCTAGAGTCTAGGGAGTCTAGGGCCTGGGGTCTAGAGCTACGGTCCGGAGTGGCTCGAGGGCTAGCAGCTATACCGGCTACGGCTACCAGTGGCCACAGACTCCACATCCAAGATGGAATTTGACGTCTGGCCTTGTGACCAATGCATGGGAGTTATTGGCTGGTGACATGACTCTGTTTCGTTGTGTCGATGGAATCGAGGTCCAACGTGGAATCTACGTCGTGTTTTTCGGGGCTAGCGGCTAGGGCCAGGGCCATTAGGGGATTATTTTTGATAAGAGACAGGCAGAAGCTATTTTTCGTGGACACGTGAAATATTAATGTTCCCAGGCGAAGCGCCAAAAAACCGCCGTTGCCGGCCTGCTCTGCATCATCTGCAAGAGGAACCCCAAGGCCATCCTTCATGTCTTCGGTTGACTGTAGGCGTCTAGAGTCTAGACTCTGGAACTATAGACTCTTTGCCTCAACCCTGAATCCGGTAGCCGTCACTACCCGCGCTAGCTGCCGCTAGCTAGCCCCATGCCCGACTTGAGCTAACAGCTACAGAACGGCAGCCATTGTATTCCAAAATTCCATTTATTGCAAGTTTCCTTTTCCGAGCAGCTGCTACCAGCCGGCCCTGTTGCACAGACAAAGTTGCCATATGAGGAAATTGGATTTTGATTGTTGCGGCCGTTGGTGTGATCCGCATCCCACTGTCGAAGTATTTATGCTGTTCGGCTACTTACTTAGGCTACTTAGGCCGGCTAGTTTTTCCATCAACTTATGTTTTGTTCTGCTATTCTTACGACATACTATACTTCCAACGTTTCGCTGCTAGGCTGCTAGGTCTGCTAGGTCAGTTTTCAAGCGTCTAACCATGGGGTCCAAATGTTCTGATGATCCTCATGGCTTCAAGTACCCCCGCCCTAGCCTTGGCCCGAGCCACAACTGTGTTGCTGCTATCTGCTATCTCTGGTTGTAGTCTAGTCTAGTCTAGTCTAGTCTAGTCTAGTCCCTAGTCAGTCTAGTCTTGGCAGCCGCTTGCTGCTTCTGGCTGCTGGCACTTGCTGTCAAGCTAGCTGCTGCGCAATTGACTATACTTACACCATATACTACTGTCACTAGGTCCTAGGTCCTAGGACACTATATCACTAGACTAGGGTCACTAGGGCCCCATCTTGTCAGGAAGTTGAATGGGCGGAGTTCACCACTCGCGGAGCCCCAATGGGGCTTTGGTGCAAGCGCCACTTCAGCATTGCCGAGATGCTCTTCCCCGGTGTGCCGAAGGAGCAGGTTGCGAATGCCTACCACGACGAGGAGGACGGTCAGGCGAAGCCCCTCATTGACGAGGCATATGCGAACATGGAGAACGATGTCTCCTTTGTGTTGCCAGCCTCGTTGGCAACGACCCAGGTGCAGGGGACACGGCTCTATTACGAGATGGCTTTTGTAAATGAGCAGGAGCTGGTTCGGCTGGTGGGGCACAGTTCGAAGTTTCTGGGTCTTCGACCCGTGATGCTGGCGCCAGAGCAGCGGGGACCACCAATTAGTGGGTTCCTGCTGTCCTTCAGGGGCCTCGACATGTCCGACACTTGGCATTTGTTCAACATGTGCGCAGGCATCACCTCAGCACCAAGTCCGAAACCTTCCCCAAAATGTCTATGTCAAGTTCTATGTTTATGTCTATGTTGCAGGTGGATGCTCCTACATTGCCATCGTACCTCGTACATTGTACATGTCGCGCATTGTACATTTTGAAGCAGGTTCGACATGAACGAACTTGGACAAAAAGTAGTACAATGAGTAGTGTAGTGTAGTAAGTAGTAAAAATTCATCTGCTAGGCTGCCATACTTCGGAGGCCCCGTTTAAATCGTGGAACGGTTTGTTCTTTAGCCTCCGTGGTAAACTGGGGCGGCCTGTGTCCATTTGCTCATAGCAGTGAGATACAGATACAGGCTCAACTGTGACAGTAACATCTGCGGGAAATCCGAGCTTTGAAGGCCGCCTTTGCTGGATGGTTCAGGCTCTACAGACTCTAGAGACTCTAGAGTACTCTAGAGTCTGATTTTGTTGGTGGTGACAGCGAGGTGCTGTCTTTTGTTGCAGAATGTCTGGCCCCCATGTCGGCCTTTGCGGCCATTCTTGAAAACGGCTCGGTCGTCGCCTGGGGTCAAACTTGGAGACATCCTGAGCATGGTGGTGACAGCAGTGCTG